CTCTGGCTTTCTTTCCTGTTACTCACTTCCTGCTGCTCTGTCCTTGCCTGTAGCGGGGATATTTCCGGGGCTCGTTTGATATGACTTTGATATTGACTGTCTGTTGTATTAGTTGCTCAGTCGTGTCTGACTCTTTGCGATCCCAGGGACTGCGGCCCGCCAGGCTCCTCTGTCCGTGGGATTCTCCAGGCAAGAATACTGGAGTTGGGTAGCCATTCCCTTCTCCAGGGGATCTTCCTGACCCTGGGATCAGCCATGGGTCTCCCGCTCTTTACCATCTGCACCACCAGGGAAGACTGTCTGTAGGCAAGGAGTTAGTCTGTGGAGTGACAGGTGATGCTCTGAGATTAGGTCCTTAATAATTCTGGGGATGTCTTACAGCCTGGCTGTGGTGGAGAACCTTGGCTCTGGAGCCAAACTGCCTTGCCTAAATCCTGGTCCTGTTATTCACCAGCCACATGATTCTAGACAACTTAGTTAATTTCTTCCCACCTAGGTTTCCTCACAAAGTTGTTTTGGAAATTAACTGAGCTGAACCAGGCAAATGTTAACCAGTGCCTGGCACACGGGAGTACTCAGTGCATGCTCAGTCACGTAGCTCTGTCCGACTCTCTACGACCCCATGGACTGTAGCCTGCCGGGCTCCTCTGCCCATGTTAATTTCCAGGTAATACTCAAGGGAGTTGCCATTTCCTCCTCCCGGGGATCTTCCTGACCCAAGGATTGAACCTGCATCTCCTGAATTGGCAGGTGGATTCTTTACCACTGAGCCACCTAGGAAGCCCTGATCGAGGCTAGCTATTCCGATTACTGTTGCTTAAGCAAGTGTGAGCTATGAGGAGAGTGGGCTGGAGAGGAATAAAGGTCATGGTGTGTTCAGCTTTAATATTATTTTTCTTAGTGTTCTGTCTCTTCTGTGATGACTGTACATTTAAATTGGGCTCAGCAGGTCGTGGGTTGAGACACTGGCTGGTTAATAAAGGAGAAGCTGATAACTGCTATTGCTTCAGGCAGGGAAGTCGGGGCCAGAGGGTGGATATCAGAGGAAGTGGGAGGGGCTTCTCACGTGTGCTCTATTCTGGTTTGAGGCTTAAGTGTACCGCTCGGCTGAGGCCGGGCCGTTGTCCCTGCCTGGCCCCCGCTGCCCCAGAACACGAGTATCAGGTCTCTGGGATGGGTTGCCCCCTCATCATTAGAACATCTGTTGAAGGCACTTCTCTTAATCCTGCTCATCTTTCTCAGGCCTTGACTGAGCCTCTTCTGAAAATCCCCACCTGCAGTAATTGCTTTGGAATGTCCATAGCACTTAACGTCAGCACTGCCCTGCTGGCTCTGATGTGGTGCCTGCTTGTGCTATTGTCTCTTATTTTTATGCGGATGACTCATCTCCATGTTTGGATAAAGGCTCTTGGGGCTGCACGCTGACCATAGTAATGGTGCCTTACATGGAACCGTTGGGTATTTAATTGATCGCCCTGATGGTGGTGTAGTCGCTAAGTCATGTCCGACTCTTGCGACCCCTTGGACTGTATCCTTACCAGGCTCCTCTGTCCATAGGATTCTCCAGGCAAGAATACTGGAGTGAGTTGCCATTTCCTTCTCCAGGGGACCTTCCTGACCCAGGGATCGAACCCAGGTCTCCTGCATTGCAGGCAGATTCATGACCTGCTGAGCTAGGAGGGAAGCCTGTCTGTGCACAAAATTGAGCATTATGATTTATCCCTTTAAGAATAACATTGAGGGTTCTTGTGTGTGATGTGCCCAAGTATGTGTATGCCTGTAAAATATACCACATGTAAAAAATAAAGAGTATACTTGGGAATATCAGGTATCCACGCCATCATCAGAAGAAATGCCTTGAGGGGAGATAGTTACCCTTAGGAGGAATTAGACTGTAGGCTTGGTTTTGGAGTAGCAGCATGGTAGGATGATAAGAATTTCGGCTTAAGAGAGGGACAAGACCCCACCGCTGCCACTAAATAAGCCATATGACTCTAGACAACTCAGCTCTAGGACCCTCCATTTAACTCATTAGTAAAATCTACCTGGCAGGACTATTATTATTCCCAAATGTGTCCTGAAAGAATCTGGACCCCAAACATAGAAAAATGTCAGATGTTGTTCAGTTGCTCAGTCATGTCCAAGTCTTTGTGACCCCATGGACTGCAGCACCCCAGGCTTCCCTGTCCTTCACCATCTCCTGGAACTTGCTTAAATTCATGTCCATTGAGTCATTGATGCCATCCAACCATCTCATCCTCTGTCGTCCCCTTCTTCTCCTGCCCTCAATCTTTCCCAGCATCAGGGTCTTTTCTAATGAGTCAACTCTTTGCATCAGGTGGTCAAAGTATTGGAGCTTCAGCATCAGTCCTTCTAATGAATATTGAGGACTCTTTTCCTTCAGGATGGACTGGTTGGATCTCCTTGCAGTCCAAGGGACTCTCAAGAGTCTTCTCCAACACCACAGTTCAGAAGCATCAATTCTTTGCTGCTCAGCCTTCTTTATGGTCCAGCTCTCACATCATTACATGACTACTGGGAAAACCATAGCTTTGACTAGATGGACCTTTGTCAGCAAAATGTCAGATAATGATAGCTATATAACAGGTCTTTGACATTAAAAGCAAAACAAAAAAACCTTTAGGAGATAAGAAAGGCTACATGAATAGAGTGTGCATTGTTTTGATCTGCACATCATACTCAAGTGCTTCGGTTGCCTATAGGATAACTCCACTAAAGTCTGACACTTAAACCCAACATCCAAGGATCTGTCCCATGTTACGTTTCCCTGTCAGAGCTTCCTGAAAGTGAAAGTCGCTCAGTCATGTCCAACTCTTTGCGACCCCGTGGACTATACCGTCAGTGGGATTCTCCAGGCCAGAATACTGGAGTGTGTAGCCTTTCCCTTCTCCAGGGGATCTTCCCAACCCAGGAATCAGACCCAGGTCTCTGGCATGGCAGGCGGATTCTCTCCCAGCTGAGCCACAGGGGAAGCCTCAGAGCTTCCTGCTTGTGTCTGACTGGAGAACGCTCAGCCTGCACACACGTGCTCCGCGGCCCCGGCCTAGAAGACCTTGTGTTCGCACCTGCTACCCAATGCCTGCCTGTCTGCTGCACAAGTTTTTAGGTCACATGCTCTGTCTCATCACCACCAGCCCCCTGACCTCAGCTGTCAGTGACCTCTTTGCCTCTGAACTCCTAGGGCACTTGCTGTTCCCGTCTTCCTTTTGGCACTTGTATTCACCTTTATCATTACTTCATTTTACATGTGTATAGATTATATACATAGGACAGACAGAATAGGACCATTCTTAACCCTTACTTTTCTTACATTATGATACATAGTGTGTGTGTATTGTGAAATACAGTATATACCCAACAGGATGTACAGAAATGTTCAGTTTTAAGAAACATCCACCACCCAAGTTCAGAAGTGGACTATAACCAGCATCTTAGAAGCCCCTTTTTGGCTCTTTCCTATCACAGCTTCCCCTCTCTTCTCAAGATAACCAGTATCATGAAATTTATATTGATTACGGTTTTCTGCTCTTTAAATAGTACTTTTTTTGTTTGTTCTTGTGTAAGTAGATTCATATATATGTATTCATATTTACATACATATGAATACATGTATTCATACTTCTATTTGAATTTGTATAGTTTTTTCTTATGTTTAAAAGTCTAGTGACTGCAGGATGTGTATAGCTGCAGCTCATTTATTTTGGTTGCTGTATTGTATTCTATGATATCAGTATACCAGAAGTTGTCCTTAAAAAAACAGAATGGATAAATAACCATCAAATTTCGGTGACATTCAACAGTCAGCAGTGTATTTCTTGCTCATATGTTAATGACTAGATTGGGACAGCTCTGATCATCTCAGCTGAGTTAGGAGCCAGGCCACAGGTTTGATCCACATCTGTTGCTAGCGTCTCATTCTTCTGGAACATTCTTCTGCTGGCAGAAGTTGTAGCTTCTCAGGGAGGCTGAACAGAACAAGCAATGCTTTTAGGAGGCACTGTCCCTTCTGCCCACATTTCGTCGGTGAAAGCAAATCGTGCAAATGCATCAATATCAGGGAGGCAGGAAAGAGATTGGGCAAAAAAGCGAATGTTTGCGGAACAGTAAACTCACCTGGTGTGTGGCCGTTGTGGTTGTCTCTCGTTAATGACTGTTTCAGACAGTGCTGCGGCTGTGAACCTTTTGATTACATCTCCTGCTGCGCACGTGTAGGAGTTTCTCTCGGCTTCATGCCTAGGAGGTGAGCTTCCTTCTGGGTTTGAAGCCTGAGTGCCTTCAGCTTTCCTAGGTCGTATCCAATGGTTTTCCAAGTGGCTGTACCTTTTCTATCCTGTGTGTGTGCTTCAGTTGTGTTTGACTCTGTGCAATTCCAAGGACTGTAGCCCACCAGGCTCCTCTGTTCATGGGATTCTCCTAGCAAGAATACTGAAGTGGGTTGCCACGCCCTCCTCCAGGGAATTTTCCCAGTCCAGGTATCGAACCCACGTCTCCGGCATCTCCTGCCTTGCAGGCAGATTCTTGACCACTGAGCCACCGGCTCTGTCCTTGGTGGGTCGGTATTTGGTTGTTGCACTGATCCAGTTACTTTGGGGTTTTTGTGTATATTCAACATACAGTTGAGGACTTCCTGGTGGCTCAGTGGTGGAGAATCCGCCTGCATTGTGAGAGCTGCAGGAGACTTGGGTTCAGTCGCTGGGTCGGGGGGATCCCCTGGAGGAGGGCTTGGCAGCCCACTCCAGTATTCCTGCCGGGAGAATCCCGTGGATGGAGGAGCCTGGCCGGCTCCAGTCTGCAGGGTTGCAAAGAGTGGGACAAGGCAAGCAGCTCGGCGCTCAGGCACAGCGGGCCCTTGAATGATTTCAGAAGTAGGTCTGAAGTTTTTTCAGCGAGGTCAACTTTCTAACCACGACTGAAGGATGGAAGGTGCACGGTCAGTGCTCAGAATCCACTAACTGTTTCAACTTGTGTCCACTTGGCAGGTTCGGTGCAAAAGCCAAAGTTGTGCATTTCCTAGGACGAACCAAACCGTGGAATTACACTTACAATCCTCAAACGAAAAGTATTCAGAGTGAGTCCCATGATCCCAACATGACTCACCCAGAGTTTCTCAGCCTGTGGTGGGACATCTTCACTACCAGCGTGTTACCTCTGCTTCAGCAGTGTGGCCTTGTCAAAGACACCCACTCGTGTGTCCATGTGGTAGGTTCTCTTTTTTTCTTTCAGGTAATTTGGTGTATTGTTTTTAAAAAGTTGGTATACTACTAGAGACAGACTTTTTTAGTGGTATTTTGAACAGAGAGATAAGTAAGACTTTGTGGAAAGAAAAGAGCGTTCATCTTAGAGGGGAGAAATACTACCAGCAAAGATTAAACCAGAAGTAGATTTGTGGCAGATTTCATTAGCCTTGGGAGCACAAGAAAGGTTTTTAGAGGTTTAGACTGACAGATGTATCTGTATATATATCTATATGTTATAATGATAAAATTCTTAGTCCATTGTCCTAAGACTGTAAAATTATTCCTAAAGTAGTGGTTCACAAAAACAAAGAATGCCCCAGTTCATGTTTTAGAAGCCGCAAAAATTTTAAATATACCTATTTTAGTTTTGCCATTTGTGTAGAACCATATTTTTCAAGTGAAAATTACAATAACAGGAACACACAATAAATACTTCTCTGGGATTATTTTGAGTTGCTATGTTTTATTCCTCTGTTCATATAGGATTTTAGAAAATCTCTTTGTAAGAAGAAGATTACATGGTAACATTTACAGTTACATCCTGCTTAGCATCTTTTCTGACTTTAAAGGTCTTCCTCTGAGGCTGGTTCTTTTGGAAGAGTTGGAGGAAGATGGGAAATTAAACGTTTATGTTACATAGTAAGATACAAAGAATAAAACTATAAATGGGTGAATTATAATCAAGTCTAAAAGATCAGTTAATTATTTGCTGTCATATAAGACTATAGAGTTAGAGTTTAGTCGTCTCACTTGGGAGCACTGGTGCTGAAATATAAGAAGGAGAGAGTGAGCAACGGCACTTCATTCTTTCACTGTTTGCTCTATGTGGACCATGAAACAATACTTACACAGCACTTGGAGTATTGCCTTGTACATAGGAAGTGCTCACAAAAAGTTATTTATTCTTATTTAACCCTTATAACCACTCTGGCAAGTAAGTATTATTTTTGTTAACATCCCCTCCTTACGTATATTAAAAGTAACTGAGACGTAAAGACGTCACACAGCTTCTCTTAGTTACGTAACAGACAGGGCAGTAGGAGAACTGGGACTTACATCCCGGCTTGAGAGACTGTTGTCCTCGTGAAGAGCGCTGTGAGGAGACTCTGCGAGAGGCTCCCTGTCTCATTCCTGTGGCCAGTGGAAGGCAGAGGCAGGACTAATCCAGGGGAAGGACAGGTGTCGCCGCAGCTGTAATAGAATCCGTGGAATCTACCCGGATACCTTGCAAGTCCAGAGTATTCATTTAAATTCATACATAGACACTCATACTTACACACCTGTATAGCCACAGAAATAGGTAATCACACATTCTGTTCTCCCATTTCCTCTGTTAAAAGCAATGCCTGCATGTATTCAGTTGCCTGCCTTTTTCTCTAATGGTTCTAGTCCGGTCACACCCGGGAGCTTTATGAAGGATAACCTTAAGTGTTCTTTTATGATACTCCTGAAGTTAATTGCCTGTGTTGTGTGCACTCAGTCGTGTCCAGCTCTTTGCATCCCCGTGGACTGCAGCCCACCAGGCTCCTCTGTTTTGGAATTTTCCAGGCAGGAATACTGGAGTGGGGTGCCATTTCCTACCTCAGGGGGTCTTCCTGACCCAGGGATCGAACCCGCGTCTCTTGTCTGCTTCACTGGCAGGCAGATTCCTTACCCCTGGCGCCACCTGGGAGCCTGAAGTTAACTCCCCACCTGTATGTAGTGAGAACCGAACTTGATGCAGAGCAGGCGTGCTCCATCTCTTGCACATTGACCTTGTTCCTTCCACACCAGCCGGGGACTGAGGGTTATGCACCAAGGGAAGTAAAGACGGGAAATGAAGACTCATTCAAAACTAAGCAGATTAACGGATTCTACAGGAATAGATGCCACTTGGTAATAAACTGGAACAGGAAGATAGGTTTGGTGTGTAGTCTCAAACCATCTAGCTCGCTCTTATAACCTGACAGCTCTGTATGTGGTGCGGCTCTCTGCTTAGGTCCTCAACGTCTGAGGTGTACCATTTTGTTTAAGTTCTCAACCTTTCTGAGCCCACACAGATCAGGAACTTATCAGCAGACTTGTGTTCCCTTGTCCATCCATCTTACGCTTTCTAATGAACTGTTGCAGCTTTCAGACTTGGTCTATACACTGGCTTTCTCTTGTGGCTTCTGTAGAAAGGTATGCAGAACTTAAACGTTAACCCTAACCCAGTTAATTTGTTCCCCCAATGTTTTCACCAAGTTGAGAAGTCTTCATTCTGTTAGGAAAAAAAAAAATCATATGGTCCTTGTATCTCCGTGTCTTTCTTTCTTTCGTTTCATGTAATGCTTTTTGGTTATTGCTACTTTGCATGATAATTCATCCTGGTTTTACTCACCTTCCTCAATTTATTGCATTCTTTAAAACGGTCTGACTTGAAGCTCTAAAGGAGTCTCTACTTATTCTCTCCTTTCTAGGAAAATGTCTCAGGAGCCGTATCACAGCTGTCCCTTGGGGAGATCCCAGCTCCGGCACAGCCCTTTGTATCCTCAGAAGAACGGAAGGAGCGGTGGGAACAGGGCCAGGCTGACTACATGGGAGCAGATTCCTTTGACAACATCAAGAGGAAACTTGACACTTACCTCCAGTAGAAACACTGGGTTTTCGGTGGACACAATCCACTTCACAGGCACTTGTTTCTGATACTTAGTACCTAGAGCTGGGTTAAGAAAGGTCTGTTACAGTTGCTAGAGGCTTTCACTAAAATTCATCAGATGTGGGGGTTTTTGCAAGACAACTGGTGAGAACTGGGCAAAAGTTGTTTAAGTAGCAATTCTGTTACATGAACAAGAGTTCTGCTTTTTAACCCTGAGCTTGTATTTCCGAAATTCTCAATTAAGCTGATTGCCAATGTATATGGTAAGGGAAACTCAATCTTAAGTTGTTAGGATACCTGTATCAACTCTTAAAATGTGCCAAGCCAGGCTGCACATCAGTCTCCTTTCAGAATGGGACACGCACGGTACATGTCTCCTGCTTGCTTGCTGTTCCCCTCACTAGACCTGCATTTTAGAGTCGCCCAGAGGCTGCCAGAGTGATTGTAATTCTGCTTTCAGATAAAGACAGCCTGTAGCACTGCTGAGTGATTCATAAGCATATCAACAAACGGTGTTCACCCATTTCCTAGCCTTAGTGTCTGAAGATGTTCACGTTTTCTGTGTACAGTGAGGCGGCATGCTGGAATGCTCTGTTCCGTTCTGTATATCTGAAAACAGCGGTGTGATGGCTCCCTGCAGTGGCACCCTGTATGAGAAATAAAGACTTATTGCCATATCTTGGTGGTTTCATTAAATTAAGGATGCCCACTCCTCATGGGGAAAAAAATTTTCACAGAATTTTTCATAATTTGTAGAATTTGTATTTTAAAAACCAGTGTAAGACTTGACACTGAATTATATGCTTTAGAAGTTGTTTTCTAGATACCTAGGGAAATCTACATCTAGTGGTTCTCCAGTGATGGTGATGTATCTGATATGATAGATGGAGGAAAGGAAGATGAAGTTTATCTCATCTGTCACTCACATTTCATCTCTATATTTTAGAATATTGTAACCTTAATGAACCTAGGTTCATTGTCAGTCTCTAAACATACTCAATAGTATTTCAGGACTATTAATATCAGACCCAGTGTCTTCTAGCATTTTTATCTGTGGCTTAAAATGATAGAAGTATCAATATAAAACATACTTAATAAATGTGCAGGTGACTCCGTTGCACAGATGCCAAGATAGTGGAGGGCATGATTTAAATGACCTTTTAACTCTGAAGTGAGGAATCACAAATTATTCTGTTGAAGAAGACAAGAGAGGAGACCATGACAAGAAGAAACTTTACAGGTTTAATTGGCCAGAAGCTGCAGTGGCTTCTAACCTTCAAGATCAGGAATAAAGTTCCCTTTATTTTCACAGTGAGGGTGTGGATGAACGTTGGAATATGGAAACTTGGTGGCAAGAATGGATTGGGGGGACCACCTTGGAGGTTGGCTACCAGAAGAGCTTAAGAAGAGCTTGAGGATTTACCTCAAAGTATAAACTGTTAAATAACAACTGATTTCTGAAGGTAAAGTAAGCTAGTTACTTGGACTGGTGGAAAGTGAGTTGCTGTGATCTTCAAATACATGAAGCACTACCAAAGATTTAAGTGCCTCCACATGTCAGGAACCATACAAAGACCCCTCAAGATCCTTCTCGTCCAAGAATCTCTGCATTGAGGGATATCCATTGCATAGAAAATTCTGGCAAAACAAATTAAATTCATTACAGTGCAATTTACAAGTCATACAAACAAGTATTTCTGGACTATTTGTGTCTAATATTAAAATTGTAATTGAAGGATAATTGCTTTACAATCTTGTGTGGTTTCTGCCATACATCGACATGAATCAGCCACAGGTACACACGGCCCTTCCCTCTTGAATGTCCCTCCCACCACCCAGCACAGCCCACCCCTCTGGGTTGTTACCGAGCCCTTTGGTTCCCTGAGTCACGCAGCAGATTCCCACTGGCTCTGTTTTACACACGCTAGTGTGGACGTTTCCATGCTACTCCCTCCACTCATCCCACCCTCTGCTCTCCTGCCCCTGCCGCCCCACGTCCGTAAGCCTCTTCTCTGCGTCTGTGTCTCCACTGCCGTCCTCTCATCGGTTCATCAGTGCCGTCTTTTTAGATCCCATGTGTACATGTTAATAGACGACACCCTATAATAGACTCTAGGTTCATCCACCTCATTAGAATTGAGTCATATGTGTTCCTTTTTATGGCTAATAGGCCATGTGGGCTTCCCTGGTGGCTCAGAGATTAAAGTGTCTGCTGGCAAGGCGGGAGACCGGGGTTTGATCCCTGGGTCGGGAAGATCCCCTGGAGAAGGAAGCGGTAACCCACTCCAGTATTCTTGCCTGGAGAGTCCCATGGACGGAGAAGACTGGTGGGCTACAGTCCACGGGGTCGCAGAGTCAGACACGACTGAGCGGCTTCAATGTTCCAGGTGCCACTGCTGCTTTATTGGTGAATCTGCTGATGGGCATCCAGGCTGCTTCCGTGTCCTAGCTATCGCGAATAGTGCTGCAGTGGACATTGGAGCACATGTGTCTTTTTCGGTTATGGTTTCCTCGGGGTAATGCCTGGTAGTGGGATCGCTGGGTCACATGGTACTTTTATTTTTTTAAGGAATCTGTGCCTAATTTTAAAGTTGGTCTCAGCCCTATGTTGCTTTCACAGTCTCAATGGTTATAAAAATGTCTGATTTCAAGGAAATACTTGAGCTTATTCCAGAAATTACATCTACCAAAGCATGTATTCAGTCACCTTATTTTCACATCAAACACAATTTGGGTTGACATATACATTTATACAACACAACTCTGAAAAGCACTTACTAAGTACTGACCATATCACGCATGTGATGGACAGTAGATACACAGGAATGTATCAGACAGACATATTTCCTTACATTCTAGTAGCAAACAGGCTGAAAGAAACTAACATATATAATTGCAAATTATGTTCAATAAAGTACACTGACCAATACACTTGCTCCTGGGCAAGTCCAGCCTTAGGGTCTTCAGGAAAAACCTCCTCCAAGAGGGTGATTACGCCAGAAAGAGAGGCTCTGCAGAAGCCAAGACTGAGAAGGAAGACTGTTCCATTCCGAGGAAATCGTGGCAACGGGAGAACTGGGTGGAAATCAAGGCTTTCAAGACTATGGAGAGGAATGTATTGGCTTCATAGATGAACGTTTGGGCTTTGGATTTTAAATTCAATAATGACTGGTTTTATTAATGTATTTTATATGTAATGTTTTATTAATGGGAACTTACGTACCAAGGTAAGCAGAACAGTATAAAGAACTCCCATCACCTACTTTGAGCAGTTGTTTCTTCTATGTCCCTACATTCCCATGAACTCCCCCACTACCAAACTATTTGGAAGCAAATCCTAGATAAAAAAATTCATATGAAATATACCTGCTATCTTTAAAACATAGGGACTTTATAAAATGCTCACACCAAGAAACTTAATTCCAAATGTCCTCCATTATTTTGTGTTTTACTTCCACTTGATCTTATCGGGATCCAAGTGATAGTTTAAGGTAAAGGATGTCAGATTTGTGATCTCCAAAGATTCAGCTTCTGGACCAGAGTCTCCAGCCTGGCTGCTCCTGAAAAGCACTGAAGTTGTAAGTACAGTCTCTTGGGCTTATCACTGTGGACTATGATTCAGTAGAACTTGGTTGAGTTTGAGGCCATAGTATCTCTATTCCAAGTACTATCAAGCAGGGACTGTGACCCAAGGGACATTTGAGAACCATCTGATACATGAAGAATGTACACTAAATACAACAGGGAATCAGAGTTCTCAGAAGATGCATGGTGCAGTGTTGTTACATAGCAAGGGATTCAACTTCTATTTAGTAAAGGCTTTCCAGAAGACAAACTCAGCCCCTTGAGTGAAATAGGCAATATTATCATAAATAACATCTATAAATTAATTGTAAAATGTTTACCTCTTTAATGTTACTGAAATGTAGGGAATTAAGCTAAGGAAGACTTGGTTTCCCCTTAAATAAAAGTCTGCCACAGTCTGCTTTTCTTCTATTACAAATGGATTATTAACTATTTTTACACTTGGGTATGTTATGTGATGGGCTTCCCTGCTGGCTCAGTCTTTGATAATTTATTTCTCTGAGTTTCTGACGCTGAAATTTAATCTTCTTTAAGTGAAAACAATCTGTAAGAAAGCAATGAGGAAAGACAATATTTACTAGGTACTTAAAGCTCAATTCTCATATCAGCCCTATAATGTATATATAGATTTCTCATTTCTCTGGTAATCAGAGAATAAGAAAGGTTAAAGACTTTGATTCAGATCTGTGTTTGTTCTAAATCTAAAGCTATGCTCTGCATTAAACAAATGAATTATCAACACAATGAGATCCAGGAAATGGACCAAGAGATCAACAGTATTCTCTGTATATACCCAGAAATATAAATGCCAGAAACAAATAATGGAAAAGCTTTCATTTTGCTTGCTATGAAGGTAAGGACAATGGCCTTGAAATAGGACTTGGAAAATACTTTTTACAAAAAGACATTCCTAAGTAGGCCGCCTGAAATTGTAATATAAAAATGAACAGGTAGGAAAATTCAAGGATAGTGTTAAGTCAAGAATTTTGTCTTGGACACAGTTCAGCTTCACAATGTAGAGTTTGTATCTTAAAAGCCTATACAGAATTATCCTGTTTTCACAGTTGTTTTATTAGCCCAGAAGAAGGCAAACTTCTATAATATGACTATATGATACTGTGGTGTATTCAGGGTCAACATCCGTTTAGAGATAAGGGCTCTTTACACCTATACTAAGCCACTCAACTCTCGTGATTTACTTATTCTGTGTTCCCTTTTAAGTTTCCTTCTATAATGTCCAGTCTACCAGCTACCACTTCTCACTACTGTTTTCCTAGAACAAAAATAGGAAGAGTTAAATGTTCAATAACAGGGCCTTTGAACACTAGGTCCTTTTCTATTAAGTATATGGGTTTATTAACTCTGTTATTTTAGGTGGTTAGAACCTTCTTTGGTTTCTGTGCTCCTAGTTGGGATGAACAGAAACCTAGTCTTCAGATAACTAATAGTGCCTTATTGTTGTGACCATGTAACATGCAATCCAAATAACTTGGAGCTCTCCACCTGGATCACAAGACTCAAATCCTTTTTTTTAAATACACTTGAGGATATCAAAGCATCTAACTAGGGAGTGAGAATTAAACATATCATCTGGTATACACTCTTTGTGTTTACTTATTCCCTTTGGTTCCCTATTTTTCACACTGCCTAAGAGGAAACCTCTGAACTTAAAAGGCTCACGTAATTTCTGGTCATGCAGGGTCTTCGTTGCTGCACATGGGAGTTCTCTAGTTGAAGAGTGGGGCTCTCTCTAGTTGTGGTGCGCAGGCTTCTCACTGCAGTGGTTAAAACCCTATGATGTGCTATTAGGGAATAGTCCTTGCCTTCCCTAACATAAGGGGTAAATTACTTTAAACATTTAGGAAACTGTATCCTAGTTAATTTTACCTGCCTTTCTGACACTATTGACAGAATGCTGAAAAGATGGCAAACTTACTGACAACATTTCAAAACATTAGTCCTATCTCTGCTTTAGCAAATGACCCACATGTTTTAACAATATATAATCTCTCTGATGACTTTTAATTTCACATCTATCACATTAAATACCCTCTGGGAATATTAGACTGGGTTTCAACTGTGCAAAGACA